GCAATCCTGCACCACCATATATCACACATATATCAAGGATTTTTTTTATCCATTCGGTGTTTGATCTTTTTTAATTGTTCGGCTAACATCAGATCGAAAGATATTCAAATACTAATTATTTTGAAAATATTACATTGTTGCAAAAGTTGATTGGTTTGCTTAACAGATCTTTTGCATAGGTTCAATGCTTCTGTTGGTTGACCTTATAAGTTAACGGTGATCACCTATCAACATGACAGCCCAATTAGCTTCATGCAAGGATTTTCTGACTATTATGGGATGAATACCATTGCCAAATTTTTGCTTTACCTGAGCTGTGATCTGGGTTGAGGATATTTTTGGGTTGATCTTCAAATTTTTTATTATTTTGCTGCATTCACTGTCACTTTAAGCTGTAGGCGGCACTATGAGCATTGCAATTTGTAATGATGTGACCCCTTTGAAACGCTGCACAATGCTCGGATTGGTATAGCGGTTTCTAACCCTAATTTCCCTAATTTCGGAATAAAATTAACATTGGTATAAATATATATAGAGAATTATTTTCCGCTGAGATTAAGTCGTGTATTTTTGTTTATTGTTTATTTTGTTCCAAATAGTTTAAGTTTATAATATTAAATGCACGATGACGTTTTTACAAACTGGACCACCTCTCCATTTATAATGTAGAGATAACAACTCTTTTCTAAGAAAAAGTTGCCTGGAAAATAATAATGATATTAAATGATTTTCATTAGAACCCCTACCATAAGTGTGTCAATAATTTTGTTCTGCAAAATTTACAACTATTTTTGGTTTTTTAATTTTAAGAAATTTAATATAATAGATAATATAATTAAATACAAGCATTCTATCAATATGATTAAATTATTTGTTAATTAAAAATCGCTAATAATTATGTACGTCACTGTATATATAATAAATTATTGTGAAATCAATTACTTGAGAGCAACTTTTTATAGATCTTTATGATTCCGCGTTTAGTTAACCTTCAATTATTAGTTAGAAATATTGATATATTGAAAATTCGCATTTAACGAATATCTAAAATTTGTTTTCTTAATTACACAAATGAGAGGAGGGTGAATTAACTTGTCTGAGCTTATTTGGTAGCAAAGTTACAAGCGAAAAAAGTCAAACATAAAAATGCAGTAATAATTTTCCAAACGACCTTTATCTCTCGGCTAATGAGTAAGCCAAGCTTAAATAAAGCAAATTCCAATAATTTTTAGCGATTATCAAAATTCATTTTATATGAATGAATTTCAATTTTCAGATTGTTTATCTTGTTTTTTGTTTCTGTTTTTTTTGGAGTCTTGAATGGTGCTTTGGAACCCACGCATTCTCAGTCGTTCTCGTAGATATTCGCTAAACCAGTCTGAAATGGAGAACTTGTACATCTGTTTGCAGCTGACTGACTGGTGTCTTGTTCACAGATTTCTTGTTGTTCACTTGGTTTCAAATACAAAATCTACCTCTGCCAGCCTGCCTGCCTGCCTGCCTGCTTATCTATACACCACCAAGCCACATGCCATAAACTGCGAACTTTGCATAAAAGTCGTTCCACTCGGCAAGGTTGTGCTGATATTTTATATTTTATGCTGTTTTGAATTTTCTAAATGCGTTAAAATTTTTAATTTCTCTGCTATCCAAAAATTTCAATTTCTCATTATTGTTTCTTTAAGGCTTTGATAATTTTATTTTAAATTTTATTATTTTTGTTTAACTATTTTTGTTTTCTTTAAGACGTCGCTTTACAACAACAAATTGCCGAAAAATTAACAATTGTTAAATTTAGCTTTTACTTTTCATACCTTATAATACGAGTACGTCTTATTAGTTTATGAAATATGTTGAGTTTAATAATATATATATATATATGTGTAATATATGCAATATAAAAATATAATATATAAAAACAAGAAACAGTAATATTGTATTTAATAATGTGATTAATATCTTTAATTAAAGTTAATTACTTAGTAATTCCATTCTCTTTATCTAAGCGAAAAAAGTTTAATTTGATAAGAACTTATCTATATAAATAATTGTTTTAACTTCATATAGAGTTTTTTTTTAAATGCGTAACAGATATATTCGTGTATCTGTTGTGTTAGCCTCTAAGCCATAATTACAAAGTAAATAATTAAAAGCAGAAAATTTTAATTAAAAAACTAAAAAAAGTAATTTATAATATTAATTGCTCATTTTTAATAGAATGTATCAATTTGATATTAATATATCTGACTTATGGCCAGCTAGGTTCACATAATATAACCTGATCGAATATATGTATATTGATTGTTGGAGAATATTATAAATATTCTACAGAAGATTTAAGATTATTTTTTTGTATTCATCTTAACTGTTTGTACCGATGTTGTTGGGTATCATACGGGTTCTAATAGAATTTGTTCTTTTTTCTGTATTTGCGTCTTTGTTGAGTTATAATCCTGTAGGATGTGGACTAATCCAAGGCTAGCATAAATTTAAAAATGAATTTTGGATTACTTTAAACTAGTCCATGTAAGTAATTTAATTGCGTTCCCGCTGATTGCTAACTATAACAGTTATTGGACAACCATTTTTCTTCAGAAATATTCCTTTTATATGAAGAACATATGTATATGTAAATATTTTTAAAGAAAATTGCAATTAAAATATATTTAAGTCGAGAAATTTTATATATAATGACATATTATTTTACCATTGCGTAACTTCATTTTAGCATTCAATTTATTTGAAAAAATTTCAAAAAAATAGAACAAAATTATTATATTCTGTCTTTTTCTGATAATGTATTTTTTGAGTTAAAGTTCTAAAGAGAGAAAGCGGATTTCAGCAGCTTCAGCTATTGTTTAGTATACAATTGCTGTTGTTCAGTGGCTTTTCTTGATGAAATAGAATATATCTGTTTGCTTTCCTTTCATTTTGCTTTATTCTGGAGTTGGCTATGGAAAAACCAATACTACCTTTTGTGAGCAAGATTATGGTAATTTCGTTATCTATGGTGTTTCGCTAGTTTTTGGTGGCATGATTCTTGATTTAAACTTTTAATCGAATCAAATTGTCCAATCGTCCTATTTTTTATATCTGTTTTGACAGTTATTTACACTGTCATGGCTCGTATATTACACGAGCAATACAGCTCGTATAGGAAGTTAGAAATAAACTCTGAGGTATTTATATTCAGGTCATCTGTTAGCAATCACATCAATCGGTAATCTCAACTGCACGTCGAATTTGACCCTGTGCAAATTTTGTCTTTTTTAAGAAATACGTCTTAAAAAAGTGAAGAAATGAAATGAAAGAAATTTTGTAGCTTACGTTGATGTGAATAAAAAATTTATAAAAAATTGATTGAACTTGCACAATAATACGGTATTGGGAAAGGGAAGGAATTTAAGATAATAGTGAGGAAAATGATAGGCGGGAATGTTTAAACTAACCAGAAGAAGGAATCTTGCCACCCAATCTTTGATTACAGATACAGATAACGACATGAGAAGTACAGTTGAACTTCGTCGGCTTAGGTATCTTCGTTATAACATATATAATTTTGATTTAATTAAAAAAATTTGTTTATAATAAATATTTCTTTATCTTAGAAAAAAAAGTTCGTAAAATTTTAATAAATATTTGTATTTAATTCTAAAAATATAATCCTAAATGTACTGACCTTCCTTTGAAACAATGTCACTAAAGTCAAAAATGTTAAATGTTGAAAGGCTTGAAACGTAGTATTCGTAGTGGACTTTGTTCATACAAAATCGTACATAAAATAGTATCTCAAAGTCGGTTTTGCTGACATTAATTCAGCTAATATTTTTTTTGAGTTCAAACTCTCTGACATGATCATACCACAATTAGTTTCCGTTACTCATGTCATTATTGCGTTCATTGTTAGTTTGTTTTTTATTGCTGTTTAGGCTTCATTATCAGGTCAACAAAAACTTGTTAGCAATGAGTTGTGGCCAGTGTCAGTAAACCTAGAAGAGCAGCAAAAGTGCTATTCTAAGTTAAATTTGTTGAACTTCTGTATTCTTTTTAGTAACATTTCTTATTTGAACGATAAAATTATCACATTTTAGAAGAAGATAAAGCCAAAAAATAATAAGCCTTTGTCTTGTCGCTATAACTTAGACAATTGTATGATTTTTTTTTGTTTATAAAACCAGTTTTAGTATTGTAGTCCTAAAAATCGACTTCTGCTAATGATAGGCTCCGGAAAGAATCCAAATGAAATTTTAACAAATATCGGAAAATTGAAATACAATATAATTAAAAGTAGCTCTAAGATTTTTTTTCTTTAATATAACGAACTATTAAAACATGTTATATTATAGATTTGATAAGATGAATTATAAAGCATAATTACGTATAGAATTTTAAGCAATAGCAATACTCAGTCCAATAAACGTCATGTTTATAGTTTAATACGTCTCGCGATATAACGCTGTATGTCAATATTTCTTTGTTATCCTGATGACGGGTTTTAAAGTTGCATGTTTCTATCGGCAATCAGTATATGAAATTTTTATATTCATTACACAAATTATGGTTCACAATAACTACAAGACGCGCATCAGATGTTATTAATTCAATATTGTCTAGTCCTTGATATTTTAACATTGGGTTAAATTTTAATTAATTATAAGTTTTTTGAAAACTAAATAATTTAGTTGGATCTTATATGCTCTTCATGTTGTATTTATTTAAATTGAGTAATTATCTTTAGTTTTGCTCGATCAGCATTGTTATTTCAGGATATGGTACCTCAGCACTATTGATATGTACCATACCAAAATTAAAACCGCTTTAATATATATTTAATGTATAATAATTGGGTCTTCAGAATATATTGTTTTAATTGAAAGTTTTAGTTCTATTTTATGGTGATCAGGACATCTTAATAAAAGCAGGTTCAATATATTAAAATAATCGAATTACTAAAAAGTATTAATTTATTCTTTGAAACATATATTAGAGTGACATGAATTTTATATGCTAATATAAAAAATATTATATATTATATTATATATATAAATGATAGAGTCATTATGTTCGCGATTTACCACTTTCTCTCAATAGTTTCTAACAAGAATAATGTCTATATAAAACTGTATCTTCATTTACATTTTCGCTTCAATATTCTTTAAATCGACGTATGCACCGGTAATAACGTTGGCTCCAGTTTCAAGAACAGAAGTATGGAAATGAATTCTTCTTCCTTCCTTCCACATATCAACTTTAAGTGTTTGACCGGGAATGACTGGTGCAGAAAATCTAACCTTTACAGCTTTAAAGAAAGTTGGATTGTTGTTAGCATATTTCGCTAAAACTGCACGTACAGAAAAACCTAAAGTGCTCAACCCATGCAAGATAGGCTGTTTGAATCCGTTATCTGCAGCAAATTTTGGATCTATATGCAATGGGTTTAGATCTCCTGAAAGACGATAAACAGCAGCTTGATCATCTGAAATTTTATATTGCATTGAAGAATCAGGTAACCGATTAGGTGGATTAGCAGTCATAGTTACACCTGTCCCTGCATGTCTTTTACCACCAAAATTGCCAGCACCAAGAATAAACGATGACATTTGGTTTTTAACCAATAAACGCGAATTTTCATCAAACGTCTCGAAATCAAGTACTACAACAGCGCCAGAAGACTTATCCATGACATCGATTATTTTACATGTAGTGGTTAAAGTTCCAGATGTGGGTAAATTGTCACAAATTTCTAAATATTGCTCACCGTGTAAACGCATTTTATAGTGAGTTTTACTTATCATCGATAATTTTTCCGCTATATTTAATTTCGTAACAGCAATAAGACATGGCGAAATAAAAAATGTTGGAATAGGTGCAAATTCGTAATGATTTTCATACAGAAACTTTAAATCGTTGCTGTTCTTCACACTAGCGCCTATGCCCAAAGCATATAATATTAAATCCTTAGCACCAAACTTGAAAGTATCCTCCTGAACATCAATATTATTATTTTGTAATTTTTCCAAGACATTAACCAATTTACCAGTAGATTGCGTATGATTTAAATGTTTTGCTTCAGACATATCAACGACTTTAGCCCATTCCATTTTTACATGTTCTGGAGTTATATTTTGTTGTTCTATTGAAGATCGTAAAATTGTACCTTTTCCAGTCACCATATGCCATTTAGTAGCCCAACCGGCTGCACTTTGTATGTAGGATCCTAAAATTTTTTCTTGTTATAATGCGTGGAATAATTATTTTGTTTGACTTACCATTTTCAGTATAAGTTTCGTGACACATAAAAACGACTACCGGTGCAATCAATTGTGGTTTTAATTCCTTAAAAAGTAAATCAGGCAAAATACCTTCAGTCATCCGGCTCGCTGCTGTTGGTATTATAACGTTGCATAAAATATTATATTTTTGTCCCTCTATAGCTACTGTGTTGGCTAAGCCTACAAGGCCCATTTTGGCAGCTGCGTAATTTGTTTGGCCAAAATTACCAAAAATACCAGACGTTGAGGATGTCATAATTATGCGTCCGTAGTTCTGTTTCCTCATATATGGAAAAGCAGCTTGAGTACATTTAAAACTTCCTTTTAAGTGAACATCTTGTACTAGTTTCCAATCTTCTTCAGTCATTTTGACAATGCTGCGATCGCGTAATATACCTGCATTATTTATTAAAATGTCCACACGACCAAAATTATTAATTGCAGTCTCAATGATTTTTGAGCCGTCAATTACAGAGTTGTAATCTGGTACGCTCACGCCACCTAATGCTTTAATTTCAGCGACTACGATGTCTGCTGATCGCTGTGAAGAGCCTTCTCCTTTTACACCCCCACCTAAGTCATTGACGACAACTTTAGCACCGCGCGATGCAAGTAATAAAGCATATTCCCGACCCAGTCCTGCTCCTGCACCGGTAATAACTGCGACACGACCGTCAAAACGCAATTCACCGCCTGACATTTTAAAACTACTAACGTGTGTACTCGTTCTCTTAAAAGTGCAATCTAGAATAAATATAAAAATTTTTAAAGATACTGTGTGTTTGCAAAGTCCATAGTTTTTTGCGATGCTATCATTAGTATTCGTTTTAACAAAAACAAATGTACTTGTTGATAAAAGCTTATCTTAGCTTGTTAGTATAATTAAAAGTATTTAATTCCAGCAGTGGCGTGTCAGAAAATAGTTTAAAATAGTCAATTGAAATTCTGTTTGCAATTAAAATAAGTGACTATGGACATGTTTACACCTGGGTTTTAAACCTGTTCTGAACTAAGCCCGTTATTAATCGAAACCTGCTAGTTTTTAGTGCACTTAAACAGAGTTACGCATTAAACGATTGTGGCTTTACAAATTTTACCCTGGGGTGCTACTAGGAAGCTAGATAAACAGGTTTTTAAGCAGTTCAAAGAATCGAAATTTATGTGGTTCACAGGTCTGGTTTCTCTTATTATTTTGTTCTCTTTTTTGATGCTGTTAGTTGGCATTTTAAATTTAATTTAATTTGAGTTGAGTTGAGAACTGATACTATGCGAAGAGAAACGAAGCGAATAAGCTTAATTCCTTATTGATATGAACTCAATTTAGTTGGGCGTTTCTTAATTTATGTAGATTTTAAACTACTTCAATTGTAGTTAAAAGTTTGGCATACATTTTTTATATGTATATCGTAAGAATAACAATAAATTAAATATAAAATTCTAATTGATTAAATTCTTTTTTTTTCGTACATTTTTATAAATCAAAGAAAGACAATTTGGTTTATTATTTTATTCTGAATACTTTAAAAATCATAATCAATAATAATTATTGAAACATACAAAAGTTTTCTTTAAGATATCACCCATATTACCCCAATATTATTTAACAATATATCATGTTATATACTTTAAAAAGCAATTTTTAAAGTTTTATTTATAATTTTGCACTGGTATCCTTTAAGTCAACGTAAGCTCCGGTTATGACTTCCTTTCCTGTTTCAACTATTGAAGTGCGGAAATGTACTCTTTTGCCTTCTTTCCACATATCAACCTTTAATGTTTGACCAGGTAGAACGGGTGCAGCAAAACGTACTTTAACAGCTTTAAAGAGCGCTGAGTTATTATCAGTGAATTTCGCTAAAACAGCGCGTACGGAAAAGCCCAGTGAGCACAGTCCATGTAAAATGGGTGTCTTAAAACCAGCAATTGCGGCAAAACTTGGATCAATGTGTAACGGGTTTAAATCTCCTGACAGACGATATAAAGCAGCTTGGTCTTCAGTTGTTTTGTATTGAATTGAGGCATCTGGTGCACGACTTGGAGTGTTGGCAATTGGTACCACACCATTAATTGGATTTTTTTTACCACCAAATTTGCCAGCACCAACAACAAAAATTGAACTTTGATTCTTCACTATCAAACGACCACTTTCGTCATAAGATTCAGCATTTGTTACTACAACTGCACCAGAACCCTTATCCATAACATCAAATACTTTGCCCGTGGTTGTTAGTGTACCATTGGTAGGTATATCATCACAGATTTCTAAATATTGTTCTCCATGTAAAATATTGGTAAGATCAGCACTTCCTGATGGCAATGCAGTAGAGATCAAATTTGATGTCATGCTCAACATTAAACCGGGCAAAACAAAAAATGAGGGAATGGCTGAGAAGTCAGTATCATTTTCATATAGGAATTTTAAGTCGTTGCTATCCTTCACTGTGGCGCCAATACCCAAAGCATAAAGTATCAAATCCTTAGCACCGAATTTAAATGTGTCTTCAGCGTCTGAAATTTTACCTTCCTTCAGTTTCTCTAACAATTCAACTAATGTACCGGATGCTGCTGCTATGGATTCCAGATGTTGTGCTTCGGACATATCAACGACCTTTGTCCATTTGCTTTGTACGTATTCTGGAGTAATCACTTTTTGATCAATTGATGTACGAAGCACAGCACCTTTTCCACGTACTGTTTGTACTTTAGTTGCAAAACCAGCAGCGCTCTCAATATATGAACCTAAGAAATAAAAACACACTTAGAATTAGCTTTCCATGAATGTTTTAATACTTTACCATTTTCTTCGCAATTTTCATGGCACAAATATGCAACGACGGGTGCAATCAACTGTGGTTTTAATTCGTTGAACAATATGTCCGGCAGAATGCCTTCAGTCATACGACTTGCTGCTGTTGGAATAATAACATTGCAGAAAATGTTATTCTTAGCACCTTCTATGGCCACTGTATTGGCTAAACCAACTAAACCCATTTTTGCGGCTGAATAATTTGCCTGACCGAAATTGCCATAAATGCCAGAATTTGATGAGGTCATAATAATTCTGCCATAATTCTGTTTCTTCATATATGGAAAGGCCGCCTGAGTGCATTTAAAACTACCTTTCAAGTGTACATCGTGCACAAAATCCCAGTCTTGGTCTGAAGTTTTTATAATGCTGCGATCGCGTAAGATACCAGCGTTGTTAACTAAAATATCTACGCGACCAAAGTTCTTTATTGCGGTCTCAATGACCTTTGCACCATCAACAACCGAATTATAATCAGCTACTGCAGTACCTCCAAGTGCTTTAATCTCATTTACAACGACGTCAGCAGCGCGTTGGGAAGCGCCTTCACCATGAAAAGTACCTCCAAGATCGTTTACCACAACTTTGGCGCCTCGTGAACCAAAGAGTAAAGCATATTCACGACCAAGACCAGCACCGGCACCAGTGACTACGGCGACACGTCCATCGTAACGTAAATTTGATTCGGCCATTCCTGATATACACTTGCCTAGAGCAACCGATAGTCAAAGCAGATTTTTGCAAACTGAATTATAGCTCAAGTTAGACGACGAAATAAACTGAAAGTACTTAAAATGATATAATTTTAAACGCTAATCTAATCAGAAAGAAAGCTTACTAAATATATTTATGTATGTGTGTTGAGAGTTTAGTGTATGTGTTTCTGGTGTGAATTGCATTGAATGATTTTTAAATATTCTTTCTGATATCTACGCTCAGAATAGCTTGAAGTGGTATGCCAAGGGTTAAAGGTAAAATAATAAAAATGGAACATACGTACGTATGTGGTACCTGAGTTCCCAACTTAACTATGCAAATGTGTGTTTTGTGTTTAACAATCAAAACTTCATGATTTATATATTCTTTGATTGCATGTAAATTTGATTTTTTTACATTCTATTTATATAGATTTGTACGAATTCATCATTGTAGTTACTGTTGTTACTACAGTAATGAAATAGCATTAGTTATTAATCTCTTTGGCAAAAAATAGAGTACATTGGAATTTTGCTCTTTTCACTGAAATGAACTTTGCTCCGTTCAACGTTTGCTTGTTGTTTTGCATTTTTTTTTTCTCATAAACAAAATATTGAATTTTTCCATTAAAAAAAAACAACGCCCTGATATATTAATGATTATCGTTTTGTTTATTTACCTGTAATGAGTTAAAGCTAGTTAATGACACTATTAAATTTTTTTATATTAACTATTTACTAGTTTTTATAAAATGAAAATATTCCGAACCGACTAGCGAATGTCAATTCTTTATTTATGGCTATTGTGCTCGCCGTTTTTTTTCCTGACACTGTTTGACAGCAGCTACTATTTTTATTATTCCATTTCTCCAATTCGTGTATTTCATACTTTATGTAAAACAGGGTTGCTCAATTAAAATAGGTGTGAAATTATCGAAAAAACTAGTAACATTTTGTGTTTGTTCGTAAAAAACTTAATAGGAGTATTCAGGCAACTGATTAGTTGCTTATTTGATTCAAAAAATTCATATAAAAAAAATTTAGCATTTCGATGTTAATCAGTTGCTTGAACGGACCAAAATGCGTACTCTGATTAGTTTGTTGTGTGCAAATGCCTTGGCAGCACTCGTATCAACAGCAACAGCAAAACATATGTTAACAGTGAAATACTCAAATATTCGTAAATTTTAATATCATTTGAATTTATCATAACATATAACTAAAATTGCAAACGTGTCATATATCAAGAAGTAGAATAAATTACAAATTATAGTTTTATTGAATTTTATTTTTTAACTTATGTTATTATTTTTGCATTTTCTTTTTCAGACACCCTATGCTCATAGCGCCAACACTTGGTACTGACATCACTATTAATCAAATTTTCACTAATCTGAGAATCTCCGAAATAGTAGTAGTTCTCTGCTTAGTTTCTTTTTTGTATGCAAATTTTTGTTGTAATCAACTACTAAGCAACTAATCAGTTGCCTGAATACCCCTAATATAAAACTTGAACAATTGCAATTATTAAATGAATTTTTCTTTTGCAGCTGTGTACTACTTTTGTTGAGTTTTTTTTATGGTAACTAGTAGGTGTTAACTAGTAGCAAATATTCGCTAAATGCTAGAACTATTTTCGCTTATTTTCACATCGTATAATTTGTCTATTTTTGAAATAACCGGATTACGCCAAATCAAATCTTGATTTTCCAAAAATCGTGACGTATGAGATTATTTCTGCTATGATTGCTTTACATATACATTTAGAAAACCTAAATATTACTATAAAATAGCGAATGAATCATTTTAAATTCGGTTACTAGTGTAGTCCTTAGGCAACCTTGAGGCTATATGTTCAGTGAGAGTTACATAAATTCTCAATTATTTATTTGCAAACAATTCTTGATTTTGTGGAAAAATTCTAGTTCGTTTTTGGCGATAAAAAATTCATTGCACTGCAGCTACTGATTGAGTTACTGATAATATTACGAACATAATAACGCAGGGCTAAGAGACCGTGAATATCATTGCGCTATTTGTTTACAAAATTTATTATGGTCCTTGGTAAAATGAAAAAATTAATTTTAAAATAAATATAATAATATAAGCAAAAATAATAAACACTTGAGTAATAGCCAAGTTGACAAATGTATTATCCCTTTGTTATAAAAACTATTCAAAGGGGGAAATAGTGGGTGCATCCAATGTATGAAGAAAGATTAATTACTGGGCTAGGCTATTAAACATTAAACGGCTATTAAACATTATATGTTAATTCAAAATGATATAATTAATATAGAATTTATTAAATATTTAGATTTTTTTAATTAAATTTTATTTATAAATTTATATTTGCGTAAGAAACGAAAATAGAAATATAGTATATAAAACAGAAAGATGGTTTCTTTAAAAAACTTGCTTATATTTTTTACCACATTCAATGCTTTTTATTTTTATTTTGATTTATTTATAAAATATATTTATTTATATAATATATATTTCGGTAAAATGTGTATATCATTCAAATTTATTCTTACGCGTTGCTCGTATGACGTTAACGTAAAATATGAAATGTCAAACTTGTAGAAAATTTGACTATTTTCAACTGCAGCTACAACAGGACCGACACCTACAGTTGCAAATTCTGTTCGTAACATATATTTTTAGAGCACTTAACCGAAAACATAGAAATGCTTTCGACTTAATAGCTTTACCATTCCGTTTAGCAGTCACTCAGTCCAAAAGACAACAAGAAACCAATTCAAAAGTGTTTGCATAGTGCAAACCAAAAACATAGAAATATATGTCTATTTCTATATAACAAACATTTCAATTTCTATGTTTTAAACACATTTTCGAAATTTTTTTTAATAAATTACCGCTGTAGTTTCTTCGTTCATCGCAGAGGTGAAAAAAATATATATAAAATCATTTCTAACGTGGCTTCATATGGTACTGTAATTTGAAGTAGTTCGAAGGTTTGCTTATTTGTGTCAAGTAGTGTCAACTAATATTTCTGCGGTCCACTAACCTATTCAGTGATTTGAATTGGCCAGCTATCTTATCTGATCTGGAAAGCGCTGATCTACTTGAAAGGAAACAGAATATCATCTAGAAACGTAGTTCTGAAAAAAATAAAAAAATAATGGATTGAGAATAATGTGAATTATTTTATATTCGTATTACAATTTAAAAAATATTACTTACAAGTTTTTTGAGGTTGTTAATACAATAGGAAATAAATTAGTCATATCGTATTTATTATTACTCGAAAATAACGAGATACTTCTTTCACAAAAGAGAAATATTTAAATATATAACATATATATAAGAATTTCACTGACTATAATTAAAAACTAACACATAAGATTCTAGAAATTTACAAGATATAAAAGTAAAATGAATTTTTTTGCAATATAATTTCAGACTTTGGGATGTGAGAAATCAAAATAAATGCATTAAGATATATAGAGGCCATATTGCGTATGTTAACTCAGTAAAATTCTCTCCAGATGGGTTGTGGATAGCGTCCGCTGGGACGGAAGGATCTGTTATTATATGGGATATTCGCAAAAGTAAACAAATCAAAGATTTTACGGAGCAACCACCAGCTGCTGGTATAACTTGTATACAATTCCATCCATCAGAGTTCCTTTTAGCAGTGGGTCGTGTTGATGGTACAGTTAACATTTACGATTTAGAAAATAACGAACGCATATTAAGTACAAACGCCTCAAGTCAATTTTATGGTAATCCAGTAAAATGTATTACATTTAGGTAAGATATTTTTCATACGATTAAATAATTTATACGATTATAATTACATTGTTTTATTTTGTGAAGTGAAAATGGCGAGTGTCTTTTTGTTGGCACAGCTGCCGGAATATCTGTGATTGGTTGGGAACCTGATCGAGAATTTGACTATATTAAATCTACTTGGACTGAGATTGGAGATATTAAAGTAGTTAAGCGTAAATTGGTAAGTTTTTGAAAACATGCTAAATTGATTTGCGAAATTTTGATAATATTAATATATAATATGTTACTTTCAGATATGTGGTACCTACGAAAGCGATACAGTTTCTATTAATGCTTTAAGTATTGATAGAGTATTTCCATTCTATAATCCCTCCAATATACCGAGTACATTTAACTCTAATTCCAGTGTGCGCAGAAGCTTTTCTCGTGGTAATCAGAAACTACGCTTATCGATAGGTGGTCCAAAACCGTCCCGAGTATTGGAAGAAAATGAGGATAATAAAAGTCCTAGTCTTGATGAACAATCGTCCCCAAATTTAAGTCTTGAGTTGGTTGACGATACAAATTTAGTTATAACAATGCCTCCTCCAATACCTTCATCTTCAACGCATCCCTTAAATGGTTATGGCAACGGCAATGGCAATGGCAATGGCACTTTGAGTGTCAAAACAAATTTAAATAACGCTTATAATATAGTTACAAATTTTGCACCTTCGAAAAGTGTTCCTATGCCATACAATTTTCCTTCTATACCATCCAGCACTGATTATAACATGATTGGAAGCAATGGTTATAATAGCTTACATTTCGATGGTCCTAGCTCATTGAAAGTGCCTGGAGAACATGGAATGTATCCAGTTGATCGGATATTTGAAACGTTTGGGAATGGTGTAGAATATAATTTAAATGATAGTAATACACCTATTATTTCTAATTACGATCATAATGAAATGGCTGAAGATTTTCCCGTTAATCAAAACGTGCATCAGCAGCAGAATGTAGTCAGTTCAACAAATGTATCATCGCAACAAACATCAAAAACTACTAAAACTAAACAGATCTCACATATACAAAAACGAAATACACAAAATGCCATTTCTGGATCAAAATCTGCTACATCATCATTTCATAATCGGAATAAATTTTCTCAAGTGTCTTCAGTAAGTACTACAGATTTACATAAATTGGACGACAATTTATTAATTAAAAAGTCGGCATCCTCACATATGGTTGCCAAGGGCAGACGCAACACTGATGCACAATCGCAAATAAATAAAGAAAATGCACGAAATAAAAATATAACTGTTCAAATTTTAACAAAACCACCAACTAGATCACGAACATCTTTCGATTTACGTTCACCAGAATCTGCAGCGGCACACAAGCAATCACATGTAAGTTCACTTCCAAAATATCTGGAGCATGGCCTTATGTTTACATTGTGCACGTACATAAATTTCCCGTATATTTGTATTGAATGCGTTAAACTATTTTTATATGTATTTAATTTTTAACTTAGATTTTTGTCACCGAAAGAGCCTTATTTCATATTTCATTAACAAAAAAGTACGTTAGATGAATTTAAAATATGTTTTAATAATTGTTGCCACTATTAATTTCGTTATTTTTCCACATTTTTCCCATAATATATAATTGTTAATATTTAGCTTTTATTATTTAAATACAAAAAGTGACGAAAATTTAACAAATTTTCTTAAAGGTTTTAATTTTTATTTAATGGCAACATTATATGTTACACTATTTTATATTTTTATATACATGTGTCTCTTAATTTTTTTTTATATAATTTATATTTTTTATATATTATATAGTTTTTTGATATTAATTTAATTTTTTATGTTCTGTAGTAAGAAATTTATTTTGAATAGAAAAATAGAAAAATCTGTCTACGGCTATGCCTAAAGCCATTTAGAGTATCTATTTAGAAATACCTATCATTAGTGGTATTTAGAAATAAATCTTAAAGTAAAGTCTTCGTTATAATCGTTTTTATATGTTTAAGAAAATAAGCTGGTTAATAATAAGGTGACCATCGAATACTAATAAACACGTAAATTGCTTGGAAACTATTTATATACGAAAAATTGAAAAAAAATTGAAAATAAATCCTTTCTCAATATAAGTTTTATAATATTTTAGATTAAGGAACTACATCCTGAATTTATTTTATACAATAACAAAATACCACATATATATTATATTTTATATTTTCATAGTTATTATTGGTGTATATAATAATATTCCGTTTTATTTTTGGGTATATGAAATTTGAAAAAAAATTATATTATATTTAAAAATATATTATTATTATATATTATTATATATTAAATATATTAGTATAATTATTGATATTAATGCAACTAATTTTCTAGGAATAAGCCCTTAATTAAATAATTATGTTAATAGTAATATTCGTAAATAAGTAAAGTTTCTTTTTTTTTTTGTTAAGAAAGAAATGATTATTTAATATATTGCAGAAATATATTACATTTTATATAGAAAATGTTTTCAGACATATAAATCTAATACTTCAAATAGTTATACTTCAAATAGTTTTCATTACATCATGTAGAAAAAGTATTTAAATTAACCTTAATAACGTAACTTAAATGCTTAATAGTTTTAATCTGATTAACATAACTATCAATTAATGTACTGCAATATTTGAATTTATATGTATAAAAAGACATTCCAGTAATATCATGTTGAAGTAATTTACATGTATTATTAGCACAACGCATACATTTTTAAGTTAAATATCATTAATTCCTCAATTAGTTTATTTACTTAGCAAATTATAATTAGAAAGCTTGCACTGCTATTAGTAATTCCGAATTAAGAGTTAGAAACACGCAGTTTTATCGAATTTTTCTCCGCACTCTATTATTTACGAATTCAAGCTTAAAGTTTTAACACAATGACTAACAAGCAATTGAATATAAAAGTTAAAAAATATTCTTTGCTTTCAGAGAATTTCCAGTTATACATCGGATACCAACAACACAACAAATGTTTGTATTATAGTTTCTAAATGTTGTTGAAATGAATATTTTTTGTTTGACACAGTCTATCTATGTAAAAATTTTGTCAAAAAATATTTTATAATGTTTTTTCCAGATTCCTGTAAGTTATCGTCCAGATCCTTCGCTTTTAACTCAGTCTGGAGTTAATCAGAAAAGTTTAAATAATCGTAATGGAATTGATGATAGCTCCGAAATACATATGTTATCAACCTCACATGAACAGGTTTATCAAGAATTAAGTAATCGGCATGCGACCTTACAATTAATAAGAAACTCGACCAGGTGAGTCTAATCATATTATAATGAAATAATTTATACTAACTTCATACAATATATTTTTATACTTTTCAAAAAGCGATAACAATATATTAATTTGTTAAAATGTTAAAATGTTTGTAGTGTGTTGAACCTTATATTATGTAAATAAGTATAGTCTTATTAAACTCGACAGAGTAAATTAATCTATCCTTGTTTTGTGTCTTGGAGGTCTTCGCTTTCGTCATTTCGTCATTCAGTATAAGCCGCTTGTGAAGAAGAGGAACTATATTTTTGTGTTTATTCGTATAAAGAAATACCGAAAATATAAATATTTGTAAATATTAAAAATGAATTAATTTAAATAAAAGAAAATAAAATGAATAATAGAAGAGAAATGGTTAGCATTTTTAACATATGCATTTAAATTAATTTATTTATTTATATATTTAAATTTATTAGTGAATGACTGGAATTTTGCAACATATTTCCAGTGAACATTTACAATAGAATGATTTTTGAATTTGGCTACACTAAAACTATAGATATAAACATTTTTGCGAAAATATGTGTTGTTTCACATGTTTTCTTTCATAAGTTGCGAATATTTTTTTGCTACTCTGAAAGAAAAAATTACGGCTATAGTGGTTCTGGTCTGGTCAGATAATGACTGATCTGATTAGAAATAAAAATGAATCGTTCAGATTCCTTTGTAGTTATAATACAAATAATCTATTCTAAACCTTTAAAATAAAAAAAAAGAAGATAACTTTTTCCGTCTAAATAGATCTAACCTAAGATTAATTACTGATTTCTTAACTGAACATTTTCTTGTTAACTATCAAATTTTAAAGATTAATCACTGATTTCTTATCTGGACATTCTCTTGGTAACTCCCAAATTTTAAAGACACAAATAGATATAGAGTGAAAAGTCGACCTATCTTATCTGTTCATGTCCTGCGAAGACCGGAAATGAGACAACAGACAATATTATTAGGTTTGTCAACAGGTGTAGATTCCACTTTTTTACTCATGTTAGTTTCAGTAGAGTCACCCTTTAAAAAAATAATTTTTCTAGCGTATTCTCGCCACATCTAGTTATGTCCTAACTCATGTATTTGTGATTGTAATTTCTTTTATGTTTTTGTCATTAGAGCTCCACATATTTCTACAATTACGAAGTTTATACTTTTTCAGCAGTGTGTTCTGTAGTAGTATTTTTTTTTAATTAATTATAAAAATTTATTATGAAATTCTTTACATCTATAAATATTGTTATTATATTATAATATATTCTAATATTATATATTATTATATTCTAATTTTTGATTTGTTTATTTGTTTTACTACCAGATCTCATGATGTGATTGGGGCACTTCGACAAGCAATCCAAATGAATGGACGGACTGTGTTTGTAGATCTTTTAGGAGCAATACTTGAAAAAACGTAAGTTTGTGATCCTAATGTCCATTATGATTTGATAATAATAAATATTTTTTAATACCATAGGTCATCATGGAATTTGGATTTATGTTTATTAATTTTACCAGAAATTTTTGAACTTTTGAAAAGTCAACATAAATTGTAAGTTACTAAATAAGAACATTAACATTCGATTAATTATAATAGAAAAAGTTTTTCGAACATCTAAAGCGCGTATTACACATCAGATTTAGTTGTACAATTTATCTGCTGAAATGCTCAATCTAATGTATAATAGCAATATTTGAAGTGTTAACAAAAAGTTGGATGGAAATCAAAATATTTTGATTTTTCGTCAAAATTGCTTTTGTTTTTTCGTATACAATCGTATTTTTGTCGACTTACTTGCAAAATTTCGAAGCGAAAACAAACTCACTTAACCATGGTTCGTATTTGCTCACTCATGAGCAGCTTAGGGTCATGAGCAAGAGCCAATTTTTACGTGAGCCCAAAATTGGCGTATGAGCGTGAGCCAAAAATTGAGTCATATTGATGAGCTGTTCACCATCGGGAGCCTTCAATTAGCTCATATTGAGTTGCTGCTCATGACGTTTCACGAGCCGAGAGCTCACAAGCTCAACTGTTCAATAAAACGCGATGTATTAGTTTATTTGATTTATTTATTTTTATACACATTACTTGCTATGTGAAAATATATAATTTGAAAATAACTTGGCTTATTATTATTTATATTAAAACAAAATAATGAAACAATAATATATTGTTTTTCGCATTGTAAACAAATTGTTTTATTCCATTCAAAAATGAGCCGAAAAGAGTTGCTCATGGGTACGCAAATAGGAACTCTGCTCTTAACTATATCCATAAAACTTTGTTTTTGTATATTTTATATAAATTTTTGGTTTTTTTTCATATTAAAAAACTAAATATAATCAAAATTAAAATTCTATACTTTTATATTTTAATAATATATTGATGGTTTTTGTTTTCTTTTAGTCATTATACTAGAGCTTGTGATACTTTAAGAGTGATACTTTCCAATTTCTTGCCAATAATACAGGATAATATTGATCCATGGGCAGCAAATAATTTGGGTGTAGATGTCTCTCGGGAAGAGCGTCAGCGAAAGTGCATTGAATGTCAGCATTGGCTGCTGCAAATTCGCAATTTACCTGAAACCTCACATTTCGGAACATCTCTTACACAGCTACAAAGTTTGATTGTAAACATTTAAAAACCATTATTAATATATAAGTTAAATTTAAGTTTTCCAACATTGTATTACTAATATAATTTTGTTTTTTGGCAATATTTTATGCATTTTTTGTTATTTATTATGTCGTATTTGTGTTTAAGAATTTTTTAAACCATAGAAACTAGTTACTAAACTGTTATATGATTTTAAGCTAAGTCTAAGTTAATAAAAGTTAATAATGCAAAATTTAATTTATTACTTATATTCCTAATAATTTTAAAACTGTATTTAAATTGATTACACATTTGTAAATTAAAATTGTCAATATAATTGATAAAGAACATTTTTGTAGAACTAACATATTTTTTTATTAATTAATAACTCGTAATAACATTAATATAAGCAATAAATTAATTTTAAAATTAAATTATTGTAAACTTGATATATTTTAAAGAAAAGGAGGCAAGATCAGGTTTTGCTCATAGAAATCTGTACTAAAGAAATGAAAGGAATTGAGTATTAGAAAAAAAAATGGAATTAAAATATTAATTTTTTTTTTGTTAAATTTTCGTGACTACTGTACTTAAAAGTTGACAAAAAATTATTTTAAAATTGATTTAAAATAGTTATATTTTTTTAATTAGGATATATGATGTATTCTCTTTTAACAAAAATTTTATATTGAGTCGCATATAATAAACTTAATTGTTATTAAACTTCCAGTAATTTAATACTATTATTTTAATTACACATTTACAATAATGAAATTCGTGTTTGCACACAGAATATATTTGACTTGAAGGTGCTTTATATATGTACAGTACTTTTCGCTTACAATATATCCATTTAATACGATTTTACTGTTAAGTCGATTTAAATCAGAAGTGTGCATTTAATTTTAAAAAGTATTCTTTTATTTTGGCCCTAAATTGAAATGAACTTCCCTTAAAATAAATCATTTTTCACTATCCTTTTAAGTTTGACTTAAACAGAAAGTATTGTTTTTTGTATTGAGTTTTAAATATTGCAAATCGATTACATTTTGTAAAATGAATTGGTAATAATAGATTTTATTTAAATAATAGCAATAATATTATTATTAAAAACATGTAGTCTCTTTGTATTTGTGCTCATATGTGAATGAGAACATTTAAGTAAAATTAATATGCCTTATTGAACACTTTTTTTATATTATTTTTCTATTTTGTTACAAAAAAGTGTGTAGTGCCAATGATATTCTAAAGTACACTTGTTATAATCAAATGATAATACAATAATGGTATAATAGCTTAATATTATATTTTTATTGCAATGTCTATTTATTTTTTATTTTATATATTATTTATATATTGTGTCTATTCTTATTCTTATGATTTTAATATATAAATTTGTAAAACAAACTATTTTGGTATTATATAAAATTATATATATTTTTTACTCATTCAGAGGTAATGAACTTGCATAAATTTTGTTAAATGACTAAATATCTGATAAGAATGGAACACAAATTATAGTTGACCAAGCACTTATTCACAGTCATTTTTAAATATAACTCATCTTTTATCAAATATCACAACTACGGCAACACGCCATTAAATCATAACAATTTCTTACTGAAGACTTTAGCTTATGGCATAAATATTTTTTGTAACCGAAATATATTTAGTAAGGATATATTAATTTTACACTACAAGAGAAATTCTTCCATTAAAAAACCATTAAAAAAATATTCATATTAGAGAAATTTAATTACAAATCATTCTCCTTTAATTTAGACTATTAATTGGACTTAAACATTGTATGAGATTTTATTTGTAGTTATAATGTGTTTACAAGTTTATTTCCGAGTAATTTGGAAAGTGCCTTTCGAAAAAAATAAACTTTGCAACGTCTGCTCCATATAGGATAAGTTTTTGATACCATTTGTATAAATAAAAACAATTCAATTGTATAATCGCGACAAATGATTTTTAATCAGAATGAGAAAATTTTTAAAAAATTGTTAAAAGTTGGTGTAAGAAAAGTTAAAGTAATAAAAGATTTTGTTAAAAAGTCACAATTCGTAAATGTACTTAAAACCATTTAATATTATGAATTATATATTGTACATATAAATAAACATATTTTTGTATTGTTCATAAAACATATAGCTTAAGTTATTTTAATAGAACATATCAAGTTTATGCAAACATTTTATTAATCGCAACCTAAAAAGAGTCAAACCTTTATACTTTTTTATTAATATAACGAATAACGTATATAATTTGTATTGAATAACGTATAGGTATATTCAGAATGTATATTTTAAATAATTAGGACATTTGTATTAATCAATCTCTTGACTCATGCTATATTGATTATCGCATTAGACTTTAATTAAAATGTAGTATTTACTTTTGTATTAGGAACTACTTTAGTAACATATATTGATAAATAATTAGTTTGTTTTTATAAAAAGAGAATATGTGCAGTTTCTTGCAAATAAATACAGAAGAGTATATAAAATTTATTATATACAACTTTTTTTTATAAACACTCTTATGTAACTACTCCTGCACTTAGTAATAATTTATCATTATCTTACAAGAATGAGTTTTGAGAAGAATAATTATTGTCATTCATCAATCCTCAATTTTACATTTTTTGTAATTTAAACTTAAACAGAATTTGCAAATATAAATACATAAAGTAACCCATTAATTTATTAAAAAAAATTATTAATATTTTTATTCGATATTTTATATATATGATTGTAAGTTTTTTAAAACAATTTAATTCTATTTAATGATTTTAATATGATTTAACTATTAATTCTTTTAACAAAAAAATGTGAATAATTCTTCAAATTCATAAGGTAGGAAAGAAATTAATTAAGATAAAATTTATTTTTGTTATTAAATAAAATACGTATTTTATATATTGATTAAAACATTTTTGCAATATTTTTTAAACCTTTAATATTTTTTAAGTATCTAAGTAAATTAATATTTAATTATTTCTACAAAAAGGGTATTTGGGTATTTGCCTTTTACTTTTTAGTTTGATTGTCAATGGTAACTATCTTTAGTATCAGATTTTTGCATTATTATTTTCTCAACTCAGATACAGTTGTTGTAGAAGGTTCTACCGACACTTAAAATAAAATACCATATTTGTTACACTATATATTATATTGAACTATATATATATATATATATATATATATTGAAAAAAAAATGGTTAAAAACAGAAGATTCGTCGGAATACTTTTTCTAGTTGTTATGCTCTTATATGAATCTCATATATCTAATCGACGTTATAATTATTTTCTGCATCATTTAGTGGTGATAAATTTGAAATTCTTTCTGGTATCCTATTTAGTGGAATTTTGTTCTAGTTTCGAAGATTGATCAAAGAATAACCATATAATTTGAGCATTGCACCTAATAAATTAATTATATATATCATGTTGCACCATTTATTTGAAACTATATATCACTAATCAGGATTTTGTATTGTTCTTCATTGACGGTAATAGGTCATCCCAATATTACGTAACGCAAAGATTTGTTGTATCAGAAATAAATATTGTTTATTATTATAATGCAGAAGTTAAGAAAAAATGAAAGGTTTGTTATTAAATGAACCATCTCCTTAACCTATCCCACATTTTTTTACAATTGAGGGAACCCTTGCTGCTATGTCATTTTTATTTTCAAAACATGAAGTCCAATTAGACCACCAGATCAGAAACCACACTGAAATGTTTATGGATCTGAAGTTTAATGAAATAAACAGCATGTGGGTTTTCTTGTATATATCATCTTGCATATAGCAAGTATATGGTGGATTGTTTTTTAATTTTAAATTTGCGAATTCTAGATTAAAATTGCATTTTTTCTACCCTTTATAAAAACAAGTTATATTACTTTAATAAATACGAATAATAAACTCTCAAGCGTATATATTCCATATGCTATTGGTTATTATTTTGTATACCATATCTGGGGTATTCAGTTAAGATGTATTCAAATGGAACTTTGTGATTTGATGTCACACAATTTATTATTTCACGAAAAGGTGTCTGTATGAAAAAATCTTTACCTCTCAATCTAACTCAAAAATCTATTGGAGAATGAATGTTCCTAAAGTATAGTGTAATGTTGAATCTGCGATTTGTTAAGTTGTTTCGAATTAATTCTGGTTTAATTATTGGACCAGGTTATTTGATATGAACTATACCTATATCTATGGTTTATAATCAAATTTTCAAAACTATAAGAACCTTACAATCGATTTAAGTTTTTAAATTAGATATAATATTTTAGCATTAACTGGACTGTAACCAGTTTTGGTCGAAACTCCATATCGAGTTGTTATGGCTATTTAAGTAACGACCATACTCAGTTACTCGGTTACGTTGCACCAAGCGGGTGTATATTTTAACTTAAAACACGCTTATATTATTTGGGTTGAATTTGTAGTTATTTATATAGAATCTTTTGTGTAACTAATTTAAGTTCTAGAGATTTATTTTTTTCTAACTGGTTTTTAATTAGGTGGTGTACAAATGTTCATATGCGATGAGATTGGTACTACTATAAGTCATTACATTGGCGTAAAAATGCATTTCATCTGTTAAAAAGATTTTAAAAATATTTTCGGCAAATGCAGTCCATTCACCACTGGATTTTCTCATCAGTGAAGTATGCTTTTTTTTTTGGATTCTGAATCGTTTGTATATAACAAATCGAGAGCGAGAGATATGGAATATTTCTGGAATTTCTTTAAGCTTAGTTCTGTAGTGGGAAACTTCGCTCAATATTTACTTTTTACATTTCCGTCTTTAATAAATCCGTCTAATTTATAAAAGCAATCAAAATAAGTTTCTAAATGAAAGTAAAAGTTTACGCATAAATTTTCTAAAATCAGAAACAGTAGTTCATATATTTTGCAGTTATACTGGACTATGTGGGCAAATGTTTTCTTTGTGATTATTAAAAATTGATTTTATTGTTGTTGCTTCTTGAATCGTCATTTGTAAAATTTTTTTTAAACCTTAAAACTATTATTTCAACATTCATATCATTTGCATATAA